GAGGCCTCAGTTAAACCGCCTGCACACTTGGGAAAATTCAGATCAGTTGGTAAGGGATCTGGGGGTGGGTCTGGTTTGAGGGGCTTGGGGTTTGGAAAGCTTCGAGAAAACACCAAGCTAAATCAGTCTCTTCTTGGCCTGCTCAGCTTTGGTTCCATGTTTACTTCTTCGAGGAGCAGCTGAAGCCCAATCCTGTTTGGGTTCATTGAAATCTAATTTCTGTCTTGCAGAAGGTCATCAGAAGGCTGTAGACACTGTCTGCTCTAGAACTGAGTGTGTGAGTTTGGCTTCGGGAGAGCAGGGAGCAGAGCAGCTTTGCAGCTGTGGGGGAGAGTGTCTGCCTGGCTCTGCAAGTGTAGGTCAAAGAAAGAGAAGGCTCATTTTGAGTGGTGATTCATGAATTTTGTCTAGAGATAAGTATTTTAGGCACAGGAATGAATAAGAGCTTTTGGGATCTTTGTTCCCACTTAGGATAACACACACACACACACACACACACACACACACACACACACACACACACATTAATTTTCAGTCACTAAAATGTTATAAAGGCTATACATAGGATGCACTTGCATTTGTGTGTTCAGCAAATATTTTATTAAATGATTATGGATGTTGTGATAAAATCTGGGGTTACAAAGCATAAGGCAGGCAGCTTTGAACAATAACTGCTATAGGTTTTAAATAACTTAGCATCTGATTAAGGTCAGAGATTATAAGCACACAGAACATAATACTTTCAGATAATAGCTTGCATATTCATCACAAGACATGACAAGGGAGATTAAAGCTGTTTCAGGCATTCTCCCATAACTAGTCCCTAAAGGGAAGCTGCCATTAAGACTGTAATCTTAAAACCCATTTCTTAAAAAAATTTTTGTTTATTTATGTGTGTTCACGTGCAGTGTGTGGGTATATCTGTATGTTCATGTGTATCACAGCAGGCTTGTGGAGGTCAGAGGCTGACCTGCAGGCATTGGTTGGGTCTCTCCTTTCACTGTGGAGGTTCAAGGATTAACTCAGGTTGTGGTGTTTGTCAGCACGTGCTGAGAAGAGAACACTCACTACGGGTTTGCTACTGAATGCTGAGGATCAATGTGTTCCCCAAGTGTGCTTGCCCCAACACAGGTACACAGCCCATGTGATCTTACAATGTGATGGACAGTCCTTCCCTTTGGAGGTGTGTGTGTTTTTGTCAGGGTGAGGTTTGTGAAGTGCCAATAGTATTGTGTGACTTTTGATCTTCTGTCCTAAAAAGTATGACTTCTGCCTGGCTCTGTCTTGGAACACTCGCCTTTGGAATCTGGCTTGTACATTTAGCATGCTTTAATCCTCTCCTCAGGAGGCTGAGAAGGAAGAGAATTGGAGGCCAGTTCTGGGGCACATAGTGAGGGCCCCTTCTCAGGAAAAAACCCAAACAAGACAAAGGGGAACAGGTGATATATACAAATGGTTTTTGAAATGTACATTTTTTTTGAAAATGTCCAAATATATGGAAGAAAATAATAAAACAATCATCTAACTGCCTCTCCTCGGACTAGAACCCTCCCATACTCTGAAGCCCTGTGTCGTTCCTTAGACACCTAACCCCCACTCCAAGACAGAGACCCTGACTTATGTGTCCTAAGTCAGGAAAGAGCAAAGACATCTCTTTACTTTCATTTTTAGTTTTTCTTTCTACTTACGTTGTATTCCCAAACAACCCGGTATTTATTTTTGCCCTTTTGGAATGTATGCAAATGGAATAATATTATGGAAGATCTGCTATGACTTGCTTTCACACCAGCCTTGTTAATGTTGATGATGGTTCCATCAGCTTTCCCAATTTGTATATTATTTGATTTGAAGAATCTATAAGCGTTTTATTGTACTGCTTTGATATTTGGCTGTTTCCTGCATTTTGCCATGCTGCTTTTATCCATGGTGTTCTTTTTTTTTTTTTTTTTTTTAAAGATTTATTTATTATGTATACAGTGTTCTGTCTGCACGTATCCCTGCAGGCCAGAAGAGGGCACCAGATCTCATTACAGATGGTTGTGAGCCACCATGTGGTTGCTGGGAATTGAACTCAGGACCTTTGGAAGAACAAGCAGTGCTCTTAACCTCTGAGCCATCTCTCCAGCCCATATCCATGGTGTTCTTAGACAGTTTCTGTGTGGATGTTGTGAGCATGGCTGTACAAGTCAGTAGTTATGTAGACAAAGAAATGCTAGTTAATTTCTATAAGCTCATCTAATACTGACAGGTAATGTTAACACTCTGACTTCTCCCTAAATTTCTCTCTCTTACTATGTTCCGTGTTCTTGGGGTAAACTTCTCAACTGCATTTATTTGCAAACACTAAGAATTGGTTGTTATCATCTGTGCTGGCCAGTTTTACGTCAACTTGACACAGGCTAAGTCATCTGAAAGGAGGGAACCTTAATTGAGACAATGCCTCATAAGAACCTGTTGTGGGGCATTTTCTTAATTAGTGATAGATGGGGAGGGCCTATCCCACTGTGGGTGATGCCATCCCTAGGCAGGTGGTCCTGGGTTCTGTATGAAAGCAGGGTGAGCAAGCCATGGGGAGTAAGCCAGTAAGCAGCACCCCTCCGTGGCCTCGGCATTAGCTCCTGCCTCCAGGTTCCTGCCCTGACTTCCTTTGATGATGATCAGTGATGTGGAAGTGTGAGCTGAATAAACCCTTTCCTCCCCAAGTTGCTTTTAGTCATGGTGTTTCATCTCAGCAATAGTAACCCTAGCTAGGACATCATCACTGGTGTTTCCCTGTTCTTTACAATAGTTCTGATTATTCTTTCTTTACAATCTGAATTTTGATTAATATTCATTATTGATTATTCAGTTCAGTGGACTCTCTCCGGTCACTGTGGCTTCTCGTTCATCATCCTCCTTCTGAGATGGATTTCTATGTATTCAAGCACATCTTTGTTTTTCCAGCATAAGCAAACTACCGTGGGCAGACAGCAGTCTTTGTTTGTCTGAACAGTGTCCTGATTCCTTTACCATTTTTGAATATAGAGTTGACATGAGTGCAATGTATTGAATTTTTTATTCTTAGCACTTTAAACATGTTATACCATCACTGCCTTGCTTTTATTTTTATGGGTGGGTAACATGTTCTTCTGCAGGTGTCTTTTTCTGATTGAACTTACGACTGCTGTTCTGTCTCTGATGTCCTGGAGTTTCATCTGGATGCATCTAAGTTTGGATTTTCTTGTATTTCTTGTATGATTTTGATGTGCTTCTTAGGAGGACTTATAGCTTTCATTCTAGAAAATTTATATGCATTGTTTTTCATGTTGCTCTTTCTCTTTGCCACTTACAATTCTTTCCTTTGCTTAGCATTTCTATGTATTTGAAATGGAAAGGGTTTCAGACCATAAATCTCTCACATTTCAAAAAAGGAAATGTTATACAATTTCATTTATTCTTTCCCAAATTATGCTTTTCCCAACCCTGCTATGTTCTGTGGAACTAGGAGGGGCATGAGAAAATTGTGATGCTTTTCCATGGAGGGGCCTGCATTAGTATTCTAGGGTCATAGCATTGCCTATGAATCTAGCCCAATCTTTGGTGGAGTTAAGGAACATGGAGGGAAATAGTCCTGTAAAACTTAAAGCCATCACTTAGAATATTGAAAATAAAAAAATAAAAAATAACTGTATTTCTCAACTATTGCAACTTTAGGATAAATGAGAACCTAGTCAAGAATATGAGAAGAGTCAAATTACAGTAAATTCATAGACTACGTGAGTAATGTTAGATGCTATAGAATTAGCCTCCCCAAACCATAAGTTGTCATTATTTCTTAACAGTTGTCATTTTGCAGGTATTTTCACAGATCTCATTGACTAGTATGTGGCAAATGTATAGTGTATTTTGGTAAGCAGGGAAGTGAACAAGCAAAGATTTGATTTGAAATATGCAGTTGTAGCTTTTGCTCTCTTGCAAGTTTCTCCTAAAAGAAAGCTGCATTCTTTCTGCAGAAAGGTGATTGTCATGTACAGGCATCTGCCACCCTCTCTTTTAGGGACAACAGCACTCAGCTGAGCTCCTGGCCTATGTGCCCTATATGACTGGAACAGTCTTCCAGAACTAAAAGTTCTTGTGGGTGGTGGAAAAAGACTGAAACATAAAGACTTAGTCAGATTGCATCCTGATGTTTAATATGACATGCAACCCCACAGTCTACACGCCATTCACTGCTGAGGTGTTCACAGCCCAAATGGTTTGGCTATAGATGTGGCAAAGTTTGTATGATGCAGATCTGAGTAACTGTTTGCTGTTTTCAGTTTGTAACTATATCAGCCCGTTTTCCCTTTGCTAATAACACACTGCAGCAGATGGGACAGCTGTAAAAGTCTAAGAGGTTTATTTGGATAGTGGTTCTGAAGGTGGGAGGTCGAAGGACTACATCTGGCGATAGTGTTTTCATGGCAGAACACCATGGCTGGCAGATCATCACATAGCAAGAGACAGGGAGTGTAGTTGTGTGTGTACATATACATGAATGTGTGCATTTTCACAGATCATACTCCTTTAGTAACACACACACACACACACACACACACACACACACACACACACACACACACATCTCTTGTCATGGTCATGGCTGTCTGATTTCTTTCCTTCTCTCTGGAAAGTCATCAGGATTCCAGAATTCAATTTTGAAGCCTTTACTAATGACTGAATTTGCACCTAATGATTTCTTAATATCCCTCACTCTAACCAGATTCAGATTGTTTTTATTTTCTTCATGCCTGTGGTAGAAATTAAATTTTGACACATGAAGCACTGGGAGACATTAAAACCATAGCTGTCTGTGCTTCTGGTTGGCCTTTCGGGCAGGTGTGAGGCACAAGTTTCATCAATGTGTATTTAACTAGCACCACATACCACAGCATATGGAAATTCTGTTGAGAAACACAGAAAGGAAACATTTGGTGTTTTACTCTCAAACATCTCAGTCTTTCATTTTTATCTCTTTGTAGCTTTGAAGCCCAGCAAAGAAGGGAAATCCACCGAGAACAGTCTGTAAAGGTAAGTGTATTTATTACATGGCCTTGACAAACATTGCCTTTACCACATTGATTTTTCTTTTATTCAGAGATTTAAAGACTTGGATTAAAGATACAGCTGACAGGACAACTTCTTTCCCCACCTGCTCGTGCTCCTTCATAGGCAAAAGTGCTGAGGAATAGTTAGCAGCGAGCAGGAGGAAATAAAATGATGTGCTGAGGGTAGCCAAATGCAATTGTGTGTTTGCTGACTTTTGCTTTCCTTTCAGCAGTTAAGACATTCCAATAGAGCTAAGTTTACTAAGATTAATGCTAGATGGAAAAAGAACGCACTTGTACCACTTCTGGTCAATATTGAAATAAAACCACCTGGTCAAATAAAGCATTTAAAATAAAATGCAGAGTAGCATTTCAGTTGGGTTGGGTCAAATTTATCATGGAAGTCAGTCATGTGGTTGAATGGAAGAGCTGGTGTTGTACCAGTTTGGTGGGGCTAATTACATTTCACCCAGTCATACTGGATCCTAAGTGAGTTACAGGAAGGGAACTTCCAAGTTCAAAGCAATACAAAAAAAACAAAACAAAAAAAACAAACAAAAAAAACAAAACAAAAAAACAACCAGTTGGGCCTCCTGTGAAACCTTATGGTTGAGTTGGTTTTTACATGGGAAAATGTAATTGTTTCCTCTTTGTAGGTATATTTATAAGCGCACTCTGTACAGCAGTGTTCTTTGGTTCATTGTTTAATTTCTCTTCTGCATGAAGTATTTTAATTTAGAGAATTCACTCTGAGGAATTAAAGGGCTGTGCTTTCATCAGGAGGCTTTGGTGGCAGGGTGAAATATGCCATAATTTTATGTTTGTTTTCATCATCAATTATGTTTTTGAAAAATTTAGGTTTTTTTTTCTGTCATTTTTATTATAGTAATTATGGCTGTGACCACTTTGGTTAAAGTTGAAACGTGATTTTGATTTACTTTCTATTTTAAGTTATTTCTAACTTTATGACAGATGAGTTTTTAATGTTCATTTTGAGAGTGAAGTATAGTTGTACAAAGAAATTGAAGGAAGATCTCTTTGGAAGAGTTAAAACATTATCTATAAAAACTGTTTGGAGGATTTGCTTTGGGGTGATCAAGTTCTGGTGCATGAAACCTGGCTGTCTTGGAATTTTGATACAGTGGGTGGCTATAGTGAAGAAAATACCATATGAAGATGTAGATGATTCTCATTTTCATATATCATTCATATCCCTGCAGCCTTGAGCCATTTCCTGGAACATGGCAGGATGCAATAGCATTGGAGTTATAGATGATAAGGCCATTTCAAGGTCTTTGCAGTCAGATGGTGTAGCTGTGATGCTGGCATTCCTTTGGAGGAGGGAGTGTTTCGTACTTCGTTCTTGGTCCAGGTAGTACTCTGGAGTCAGACATGGGTTTGGTCCTGCACTGGTTATTGGACCGTGAACAAAGTGTTCGTTCTCTTTGTGTATTCATTCTCTTCCCTGTCTGTGAAATGGAGATGATAAGACATATTATGCCTCATATGGTTGTTGTGCAAGAGCATGTCCTGGTCCATGATAAGCAGATGTTACTTGCTACTGCTGTTGTTGTTACTATCACTTCCTCCTCTTTCTCCTCTTTTATTCTCCTCCTCCCCCTCCTCCTCCTCCTCATCATCATCATGAGCAATAACAGCCTTAAAAATTTATTAGATATTTTGAAAAATACATTCTTTTCATTCATTTGTGTATTTATATGTATATGTGTGCCTTTGTGTGTGTGTGTGTGTGTGTGTGTGTGTGTGTGTGTGTGTGTGTTTGGCTCTTTTGGGGACCCACCACCCAGCTCTCAAATAGACATGGATAAGTAAAGTACTCTTACTTATGAATGCCCAGCTTTAGCTTAGCTTAGTTTCTTGCCAGCTTTCCTTATCTTAAGTTATCGCCATCTACCTTTTGCCTCTGTCCTTTTCCTGTTCTCTTACTTCCGTAAATCTTACTCTTACTCCGTGGCTTGCTGGTGTAGTTGGGTGGCTGTGCCCTCATGCCCTCCCCTTTTCTGTCTCTTTCTTAATCCTTTTCTCTCAGATTTCTCCTTCTATATATACTCTCTGCCTGCCAGCCCTGCCTATCCTTTCCCCTAACCTGCTATTGGCCAGTTCTTTATTAGATCATCAGGTGTTTTAGACAGGCACAGTAACACAGCTTCACAGAGTTAAACAAATGTAACAAAAACAAAAGTAACACACCTTAAAATAATATTCTACTACGTGTGTGTGTGCATATGTACGTAAGTGCGTAAGTGTGTGCTTCTGTGTAGGACAGAGGTTGACACCAGTTACCCTCCACCATTGCTTTCGGACTTATTTTTTGACACTTTCTCAGTTGGGCTAGATTGGCTAGCCAGCCAGTCGCAGGCATCCTCCTATCTCTGCTCTCCAGCGATGGGATTGCTTATGGCAGCCTTTTTGATGTAGATGTTGGGGATCAAGCTCAGGTCCTCTGCTTGCACAGCATGCTCCTTATGGCTTGAGCTGTCTCCCCAGCCAGGTCCACTCTTTTTATTCTTTTAATGATTAATTTTTAAATTGTTTTTAATTATTTGTGTATGTGTATGGGTATGTGCACTTGAGTACAGATGCCCATGGAAGACAAAAGTGTCAGATACCCCTGAAACTGGAGTTACAGGTAGTTTTTAGCTGCCTGACCTGACCTGGGTAGTGGAAACTGCTGGACCTTCCTTAAGAGCAGCAAGGACTGCTTGCTAAGCACTGAGCCAGGTCTCTCTGGTTCCTACTTCTTTTTTTTTTTGGTTTTTCGAGACAGGGTTTCTCTGTGTAGCTTTGCGCCTCTCCTGGAACTCACTTGGTAGCCCAGGCTGGCCTCGAACTCACAGAGATCCGCCTGGCTCTGCCTCCCTGGTTCCTACTTCTTTGTTGTTGTTGTTGTTGTTGTTTGAGACAGGGTTTGTCTGTGTAGCCCTGGATGTCCTGGAACTCGCTTTGTAGATCAGGCTGGACTCACACTCAGGGATCCACCTGCCTCTGCCTCCTGAATGCTGAGATTAAAGGCATGCACCACCACACTGGGGTACCATTTTTTTAAAAAGATGTTTCATGATGTTTTCAAAATGAATATGTTATTACCAACAAAAAAGAGAGAAAATCTTGTTTTATCCTCAGGAATCAAATGAAAAAATTACTTTTAATAGATAATTAGGAATGGTAAGGTAGCTCAGCAGATAGAGGTGTTTGCTGCCAACCCAGATGATGGGTGTTCAATGGCCAGGCTTCACATGGTGCATGGAGAGAACTGACTACTGTTAGTTTCCACTGACCTCCATCTGCATCCTGTGTCATGTACACACACACACACACACACACACACACACACACACACAGAAAGAGAGAGAGAGAGAGAGAGAGAGAGAGAGAGAGAGAGAGAGAGAGAGAGAGAATCAGTAAATGTAATAAAAAAGAAATATGAGAAACTTTCAGAGGCAAAAGATTGTCAGGGTTAAGTTTTGTGGATATCAGGGAGACTGACCTTTTGGCTGTGTATGGCTAGTTACTAAAATTATATTCTTAGGAATTAGTGATCCACTGCTAGGAAGGTTGTTAAGGAATTTTTGAAGAAAGCCTTGGTAAGTATAGATGGACACCCTCCCCCATTACCCCCCCCCCCCCCCCCCCCCCCCCCCCCCCCCCCCGTGCCTTTTCTCCTCAAGGGCTTTTACTTCCTCTTGGGAGGTGCTGTGAAGGACTCTTGCAGTCCCACACTTAGGGCATCTGTGAGCATGTGGAAGGGCATGCTTGTTCTTTGGAATTCAGATCCTTTTCTAGAACATTCTCCTTTGTCCCAGGTGGACCTTCTGGTCTGACCATACCCATGAGGGCACAGCCAGCAAACCATGGCAGTTAGCCTCCATGTCTAGCTTGGCTCTTGGCAGCCTCCATGCCTTACTTAGCTGCTTCCAGTTGTCCTTCAGTCATCTAGATTTAGCCAGTTTGTTTATCTTGCTTACAATTTGAGAACCTGACCAATAGCTTTTGCATTAGTGAGCAAGATTTCGAGTAAATGGCTATGTTTGGAGATTTAAAACGAAGACAACATTCATTACCTTCTTCCACTCTGTATAGGAGCTGAATGTTTTATAGTAGACTGCCAAAACGGATCTCAAAAATGGACTATTGTGGTGCACTCCCCATGACCCCCATGGCTGACACAGAGACATCCCCCTTGGATGCTTCTCTGAGAGCGCAGGAATGCTGGCATACAGAGAGCTGGGAGAGGCAGCCCTCTAATGCCTCGGGTCTTGCACTCCTTGTGGCCCCGGCTTGAGAGGGGCTGCAGTTCTCTCTCATTTACCTCAGCATCTCAGAACAAAACAGTATTGTTTGTTTTTTACTGTTCTCTGAATTTTAATTTCTCTTTTTAATACCGTTTTTTGTTCCATTGAACTCCTTTTTGTTGACGTGTAAAATGTGGTTGCAAACTCCATTGTTTGGATTCCTGACATTCTTACGGTTTCCTGAGGATGGAATGGGTAAGTTTCCCCTTATGTCTTCTTTGTTGCCTGCTTCTCTGTTCTGTGCAGGTCCTGGAACAAAGGTGCCTAATGACTGTTCCAGGCACATCACCTTTGCTCCCCTGTTGTGATTGAGTAGCATGGTTGCACTGCATGCTGGGAAGAGCCTTAGCTAAAGTGTTGGGAAGAATGCCTTCTAGTTTGGTTCTGCAGCCTGCTAGCTTAGAGCTCTGGGCAATAGTCCTAATTTCCCTAAAGTTCATGTTTCTCATCTGCAGAATCAGAGTAACTTAACCTGTACAGTGCATAGGTGTGTTTGAGGATCACACACTGATCATATACATAGAAATGTTTTGCAAATTATAAAGTGTATTACTTTCTGTAAACGTCTCAATTCAATTCAACATATGTATTTTTAGGAATATGGTGTACCAGAGATAACATTAACTGTTTACTGTACACTCCTAAGAACTGCCTAAGAACTGTGTAGAGT